AGCCTAGAGGTCACAACTATGTATTTCCTTGGACGGGCACTTAATTTAGGATTGCATCCCTGCAGCATTATTGCGGTGCTTCCAGTTCATGTGTACCTCTACTTGAAGGTGAAGTAAAGGGAAATAGGCCTATGGAGGCTGGAATAGAAGTCCACTTGGCCATCTGCTGCTCAACCTCATGGCAACTCAGCGGCAACTCCAAAGCTGCCAAACATTAACTGCCAGTTGTGTCTGCCAAGGAGCAAGGTGCCATGATGGGGGGGGGGGGCGCGGTGATCACCTGGGGCCTATGAAAAGAGAGACAATGAGCTGGAGGAATATAGGTTGGCAGAAATGACGCCTATGAGCCAGACAATTGCTTTTAAAACTGTCATTTAATTGTAGGGCTATGGGAATATTGATGGCCCCAAAAGTCAAAACTAAGACATGTTTATAGCATAACACATCACTCTTTATCATATAAAATAACCCATTACATAGAAAGAAGAGAGTGGTCAGTATATAAAAATGCTACGTATATGATTTTAAATGGATGGTATCACATGTCATTTGGGTTGAAATGTGCCTCTGTTATGTGCTCTGATGTCGTCACACCAGTAGTGGGACGTACCTGAAAACTCTGGGGTTGGAATTAAAGTGTTTTTGGCTTATAGTGCAATTTAATTTGAAATGCAAATCATCATTGAAGGCAAATCTGGCACTTTGTTCAGTTCAAACAAAACTCTGCTCTTTGGAAATGTTGTAGGGCTGGTAACGGCTCATTAAAAACCCCTTCTCCAGAAGAAACATTCTGGCACCTGCATTTTGAGATGCCAAAGTTATTTTCTTCCACAGTACAAAGAAGATGGCAATAGTTGTAAGGTACAGTGTTGAAATGATTCTGAGCTTCTTTTGCACTCAAGCCTTTCTCACAAAGAAGAGGTCAGGATAAGTGCTCTTGTATATAATAAAAATGGACTACAGAACTCCTATGCAACTGGTTTTCCCAGCAACTTTGAATGCCTTGAAATTTTGCGTCTAGGTGATAGGCCTAGAATTACCTGCAGTTCCTATTTAAATTCGCAAGGTGGCAGCCTTAGGATAAGAAATATATTTATTAGCGCCAGTAGCTCTGGTTGTTGTTGTTAATAACACCATATTTCCCCTATTAATGTTTCATTTAATTTAATTAGCATCTGAGAAACTAATTACAATAGACACCAGCTCCCCACAATCAGCCATAAATTGTATAATTATCAATAATTGTGCACAGCCCAATAATTCTGCTATTAATGTTATTTTTTAAAAATAATGGCATTTCCTAAGACAGTGTTAGCTCCAGAAGTCATGTGATCGCTCTTCCATGGCCAGGCCTCTCCGATGGGCCTGTGGTTCTGATCACACGCCTCATGTTACCGGCAGGTGCACGATACTTGCTGAAAGTAAACGTGCACATGCAAGAAATACCAAATCTGGGGTCAGGGGCTTTCCACCGCTCTGCACTTCAACAGCTCCACGGTTTTGCTGAATGGATGAAACCTCAGTTGCCCCCCATGGAGCCGTGAGTCTGTGTGGCAGACGCCCAGGTCAGCGCCTACCCCCTGGGGGGGGCAGAGGCTAGGGTGACCAGATGTCCCGATTTTATAGGGACAGCCACGATTTTTGGGTCTTTTTCTTATATAGACTCCTATTACCCCCCCACCCAGTCCCAATTTTTCACATTTGCTGTCTGGTCACCCTAGCAGAGGCACTTTGAAGTGTTTTGTTTGGGTCGCGCTGCTTATTTCACTCGGCCCAACAGCAGCGATCGGTTGCTGCTTGCCAGGGCCGGCTCCAGGGTTTTGGCCGCCCCAAGCAGCCAAAAAAAAAAAAGCTGCGAACGATTGCGATCTGCGGCAGCAATTCGGCGGGAGGTCCTACGCTCCGAGCCACAGTGAGGGACCGTCCGTCGAATTACCGCCGAATAGCTGGACGTGCCGCCCCTCTCCGGAGTGGCCGCCCCAAGCACCTGCTTGACAAGCTGGTGCCTGGAGCCGGCCCTGGTGCTTGCTTAGCGTTAGGGGACTCGGTGTGGTGAAATCCCACGCCCAGGATTTCTGGAGGGGGGAGGTTAACGGTTTGTTTATGTCTGGGCTGCCTGAGCAAGGTGAGCTAAGCAGACCTGGGGAGCGGATGTTTTAGACGAGAAACATGGGGGAAACGGAGAGCTCTCATTTGGAACAAGAACTAGCCCAAACCAATGCTGCGTATGGCTCCCAGGGTAGCAGCCTGGACCTCTTCGTGGAGCAATTTCAGAGCGAATTCAGCATTTATTTACCGATTCGATACATCGTATATACCAGGGGTAGGCAACCTATGGCACGTGAGCTGATTTTCAATGGCATTCACACTGCCCGGATCCTGGCCACCGGTCCGGGGGGCTCTGCATTTTCATTTAATTTTAAATGAAGCTTCTTAAACATTTTAAAAACCTTATTTACTTTCCATACAACAATAGTTTAGTTCTATATTATAGACTTATAGAAAGGGACCGTCTAAAAACGTTCAAATGTATGACTGGCAAAACCTTCCATCAGAGCGAATCAATGAAGGCTCGGCAGGTTGCCGACCCCTGGTCTATACCAACCAGTTAGTAAATAACCTACAGCCCCGTTGTTCAGGGCAGGGGAGGGGGACCTGCACCCAGTAAGATCCCACCAGCTGATGAAAGGATGCTGGGGTGTCTCCCTCCTTCCCTGGGAGCCCGGCCACGGGCAGCGGTATGTGGGGCCTCGACAAAAGCTCACCAGCTTGGCCTACAAGATCAGCTAATCCGCGGACCCCCTGCCTGTGATTTTAGCCCTTATTTAATGGGATGCCGCTGACTCACGGGCAGGGCATTGACTGCCCGATGGGCTCGGCCGGGAGAGCCTCCCCACGCTTCCTGGGGCGGGCCAGCCAGGCAACCCCCCTCCTTCGCGGGGTCCGCCGTTCCCCCTGCTTCGGCAGCTGTTTCTGGCTAGGTGCATCCCGGGCTGGACGCAGGTGTTCAGGGCGAAGGGGTGCGCCGGCCCCTCAGCGCTCAGTAC